GAGTATAAATAAGGAGTGACAAAGGAGGCGCAGCTGAAGAGTGTCAGGAAAATCAGGGCAGGTGTGTCTAATCAAGAGAATCAGTGTCAGGAAGCAGACTAGGGCGAAAAAGAGAGAAGAGAGGAAGGTGCAGCCGGGCAAACCTGACAGGTTGTAGTTGTACTCATTCCTAGGAACATTTGCACAATCATTGTAGTTGATTAGCAAGATTTCAATACTGATTACAATTTATATACAATATATATTTTTACACTGATGTGTCACTAACAGCACTTTGTGATATTTCTTGTGTTCCTAGAAAAGCCTTTCATTGACATAAAAGAGCCGTGGATAAAAGTCTTGGAGGTAAATGTGGGAGATCAAAAGCCTACACAGATCTCTGTCAAGTACTCAGCCTACCCTGAGCCCAGCTTTAAATGGTATGTTCAGAAAAACTTATAGAATAAGTAATATTAGAAGCAAACTATATAGAACTTCAGCAACATGTCAACAGGTTTCTGGGGCTGAAGAATCAAAATCCTCTTACATTCATGTTTTGAATGACTTAGTAGCATTACTCTCTTCTGTCTGCCCAGGTTAAAAAATGGCCTACCACTCAGGGATGACTACAGAATAAAACAGAGGAGTGATGCTCTCATTATCCGTGGAGTCACAGAAATGGATGCAGGGAACTACACAATAGTCTTGAGCAATAAGAATACTAAAGAAGAGCAGACACGCTCCTTCCAGTTGCTGGTCAATGGCATGTATTCTCTCTTCTTTCACTTCTTCATTTGTTCTTGAGCTGCCCAATGCTGTTGGTCAGGAGACAGTGGTGATAACTCTTGATGTCTTCTTCCACAGTTCCTCCTCATATCATTGAAAAGGAGGTTGTTGTGCACACTGATGTCTATCCATATGGCAGCAGCCCCACACTGAGGTGCACTGCTCGTGGATTTCCCATACCTACGCTCATCCACTGGCAGTGGATGTCAAAAGAGGACTGTCCAGATGCCTTTCGGTAAGTTACCTCATCTCCAGGGTATGTGTGAGAGACAGTGAACATGGTGGGAGGACTTCCTTCTGTGTACACATGTGGTGATCACATGCTTCTCGGTCACTGGTTGTCAACAGGTTGTTGATTTAGAGGAGGAATGACTGCTTTCGTGATGTTGACAAAACCAAGAACAGAGACAATGAGAGCACACTCTGACCCGATAAAGATCAGCGGATGCGATTCCTGCTCTTCACAATGTCCATTTTTTTGAAGGACATTAATTATTTTGACTCAGTGTGTTTTGCTAATTTTGGACAATCAGAGCTTTTTTACTACAAGCTCTTTGGCTCTAGATCAGCTGCTGAAGATAGCAGCTCTGTGTGTGTGTGATATATTGTACAGACACCAGCTTTTTGCAGCTATACAACAGCCTCTTCAGGTATACAGTGATCTGAAGAGTGTTGATAGAAAGGAGGAGGCTGCTTTATTTCACCAGCAGGTTCCTTACCTTTTGCCTGTGCTACATTTCCTGTTGAGCACTCTATGTATACTTTCCCCCTCATTATCATGTACCTGATTTTACAGTTGCATTTCACACCATACTCAGTTTTCCTTTATTTCTTATGGTCATTTTGATAATTAAAAATATATTACATAATTCAAAAAATAAAGACAAATAAAACTCCTTTCATTTTCCCAAAGGAAGCAAATGAAAAACAAGTACGCAGCTATAATTCTGAAAGTCATAGTGCTCGACCTGTGTGTCATTTGTCTGAGATAATAAGGATTTTGTGCAATAAAGTGAAAGGGAAACATCCTTCTTTAAACAGTATCTTAGCAAGATATTTTACTTTAAGCTGGTTCCTGCTCATTTTTGTCCAACAGGTCAGGGCTGAAAAAGTCTGAGACACAGCTGGTGACGTGTACAGGTTGGAGAGATATCAGCAACGGCTCCAGTCACAACCCTGTGGAACAAATTCTGACTGACATTGATCATGCCCAGAAGGTAAATCATTTCTCATCACCTCATACCCCCTGCGGTCAGCCACCATAAGAATCTTGTCAGATAAATTGTGGATGTTACATTGTGTATCTGTCAAGGTGAAATGATTAACAAAACAAATGTGTTTACATAGAAAATCGTGGGCTTGTTGAAGATTAAGAAAGCTGAGGCTCATGCCCTCTACCGATGCACAGCTGCCAACAAAGTAGCAGAGGATTCACGCATCATCTTTTTCCATGTCACACGTGAGTACTGTGCTTTATCCTTTTTTTGCCTGTTTCCTCTTTCTGTGATCAGTATTCATTGTATCTGTTGTCATTTTTACATGTGTGTCCATCTCCGTTAGGTGGCCTTGAGGTCAGCATCTCACCATCCAGTGAACCCTTAGAAGAGGACCATGTGGTTATGAGGTGCAAGGCAGACAACCTCATTTATGACAACCTTGCCTGGTTCCGTGTGGCCAACATCTCAGAGTCAGTTCAGGTGGCGTTGGTGCAGCCCTGTCGCTCCCTGACGCTGCAGCAGAAGCCCCTGTCGCAGGCCGTGCTGTCCACCTCGCAGGGCACCAATGTAACCTTGGAGCTGCTACTGCCAAATGCGTCTCGTCACGATGAGGGTCTATATGCTTGTCAAGTGGAAAACATCAAGACTAGGGAGAGAACCTGTCTGCTACGCCGTCTTTCTCTCAGAGGTTAGAAAATCTTGCCTTACCTTTTCACTTGTTTGGTTGAAAATATTGTGTCATAATTTCTTTATAAAAGACATAAATGTGCCTGGTTTGTATCTTGCAGGAAAGTTTGAGAGACACTCTACTGTTAGTCAGAAAATTCTTGAAACTTTAACTGAATCTTTCAGATAGTTTGAGTGGGTACCTGTTCACGTGTTTTTAAAAACTGGCACTTACAATTTCGATGGGTTTGAAATTAATTCCATTTCATTCTGATTTTAGGTCTTGAGGCTGCAAGGATCCTTAATAATTTTACTGACCAAAAAGTTAACACGAGTGCAACGATAAGTCTCCTCTGTGATGCTGCTGGGACACCAACCCCAACAGTGGTGTGGACCAAAAACAACCGCACTCTGGTGGAGGGCTCCGGTGAGGCATCCATGGCTGTTTAAAGAAAACAGTCCCATTTCATGAGCTGGCACTGCTATTAAAGACACTATGCTTTGCTTTCAGGCGTGATTCTGAGCCAGCATAACCATGTTTTGACCATTCAGCGTGTGAAGAAGGAGGACAGCGGCCTGTATACCTGCACTGTGTGTAACAGCTTCGGCTGCGACACCTCACAGACCTTCTTGACTGCTGAAGGTCAGTCCCTGCTTGAACAGGAGCCATGCTAATTGTAACTGAAATAAAGTAGCAGGTAATGATGTAATATTTCCTGTTTGCTGATAGTATGGATTAGAAGACAATGGGCCCTTGGGCACAGATATGTAAAGGCCCCCACCCCTTCTATATTGGTGCAAGACCCCTAGACTGAAAGAGACTGTGGATCATGTTGTTTGTAGTCTTTGTAGTTAGTAGTTTTGTGTCTCTTTCAACTTGTTTAGCATTTTTTTGTAGTCACTTAGTGTCTGTAGTTATTTTGTGTCACTTTTGTCTATTTTTAGTTTTTGTATCTTTTTGTAGTTGTGCATCTTTTTGGAGTTTTTCTGCCACTTTGGTGTTGTTTTATGTCTTTTTGTCGTCATTTAGAGTCCCTTCGTTGTTGCCTTGCGTCCTTTGTAATAGTTTTGTATCACTTTGTTGTTTTGTGTGTCGTTGTCGTCATTTAGAGTCCCTTCGTTGTTGTCTTGTGTCCTTTGTAGTAGTTTTATAGCACTTTGAAGTTGGTTTGTGTCTCTTTGATGTCATTTTTAGTGTGTTTGTTGTCATTTTGTATCCTTTTGTTCTTTGTTCTGCCCTTTGTAGGAGTTTAGTGTGTTTTTATATTTAAAATAGAGGTTCTGACCTCTGCTCAGTAGGCTGGTTCAGTAATACATCCATGGCTAATAAAAAAAGAACATATTGTTCATAGTTCTTGCAAAAGAGTTCAGCCTTAACCTCTGGCAATACTCACAATACTCACAAACACCATGTATTTATGTGTTTCCTCAAGGTTTCACCAATTCAGATCCCACATACAACATTTTTGATATCAAAGAGTAATAATAACTCTGCTTCCACATGACAGGAAGTTGGCCCAGTTAGCACACATCCTCCTGGTAGCTTCTAAATTCAAAACAATGCAGGACAAAGGGAGAGGTCAGCCCCACACCTTCTCCAGCCTCTGCTCTCCTCTCCAAACTTTTCTGTCCTGAACACAAAGACAGAGCAACAAACAAACAAATGCACTAACTGGAACCAGGGCCTACGTGACCTGGTCCCCGCCAGCAGAATATAGAGCCAGTCACAGTAGCTCCCAGCTTTTCTCAGATGTCAGCTCTGCTAACGAGAGAGGGTAACACTAAACAAGAAATCTTTGTTATACAGAGCGTGGACAGCAAGCTGTTTAAATCTAGGAGACCTTATGAAAATGACTGGGTTAGGTATAGTGGTTTAACATTGTATATTGTATTATATTTAATTAACAATATTTACGAGACCAGATGTCTGATTGTCTTACAGATCAGTGACACAATGCCTGAGTCACATGGGCAGAAATGCTGTCTTTGTGATTCAACTATTTTATTTCACAAAAAGGGAAAAACGAATTTGGGATGGAAAAAGTTGCAGTAAAACCTTCTCTGCAGCTAAAAGAAAGAATACATGACCCCTGCTCTGTACATTCCCTAAGCTGAATTGTAGCGGAGAGAAACGGTTCATTATAGCATGTAGTTACACACTACTTAGTCCCTGATAGGCCTTTTCCAAGTTGTTTTTGGCAGTTGTTGTTCGTGCTGACTCCTGACCATTTGTTATGACTAGATAATTTATCAGTTTGCTTACAGACCAGATTCCAACCATTTCCTTCCTCCAACTCAAACACAGACATGCATATACACATGCATATATGCCAAAGACAATGACAAACCTGTCTGGACTTTACGCAACACTGTCAATGTACGTCACTGAAATTATACTTGACATCTGTAACTGTCTCATGTTTTTCACTGAAAATTGGTCTCATATTTGTCATTTATGATCTGTTCTTTGACACCTTTAGTCATGTCAATACTCCTGCAACTTATATTATTGTGCTTTTTTTCTAGGTGCAGAGGAAAAGACTAATGTGGAATTGATTGTTCCTATTGGATCAGTGGTCATCGCCATGTTTTTCTGGTTACTCATCGTCTTTGTCATCCGTGGAAGAAAGAGGGTAAGAACTTCTTCATTCTCTTCCTCCTTTTACCACATTTTTCCTTCCTTGGATTTCCTCTCCATTTACACATAGGGGAGCTGATAATGGGTACAAATATTAGCAGTTAAAACAGCCACACACATGCACAAGCACACACACACACACACTGTGTGGGTGTAATACTGATTAGAAGTGACTGGTCTGGTCCTCAGTGGCTGCTCTCCTTTGTATCCAGGAACAACATGGACACTCACTGCTCCCATAAGTCACGTAGGCCTGCAACAGACATGGGGCCCCTTTCACTGGAGGGGCACCAGAGTCACTAGACAACTACGGTTCTATTGTAGAGTGAATTGAGACAAATGGTGGCTCATTAATTTACACTTTGCATGTCTGTCATATTGTCTCTCATATTTCTCACTTTCACTGCTTCAGCCAAACGGCGGGGATTTGAAGACAGGTTACTTGTCCATGATCCTGGACTCAGAGGACATGCCCATGGACGAGCAGTGTGAAAGGCTCACCTATGATGCTAACAAATGGGAGTTTCCTCGGGACAGGCTGAAGCTAGGTGAGACTGATTCAATACTGAATAATGAAATACTGATTCAATCCAGAGAACACTGTAGGCAGTAAAGTGGCATAGTGAATAAGGAGACAGTTCAACTGCACCGCTGAAGAGTCACCGGGCAAAACCCCAAATCTCAAAATTAAAGTCTACGAGTAATACATTATCACATCAAATTATGCAAAAAAGTTCAGCATTATGTTTTATTTGTGATAAGTTATAAAAATAATTTTCAGCCATTCTAGGGGAGCAGCCCTAATTATGGCCATGGCCTGACAGCTGGTTGGTCCATCAAATATCTCAACAACTTGCTGAACAAAGATGGTAAAAATGGTAAATATTAGCTAATAATCAGCATGTTAGCATTGTGTTTGTATGCATTTTACCATGCTGACATTAGTACGTATATAGCACAAGGCCTCAGCCTCACAGGGATGCTTGCTTGGCTATAGTCTTGCTCCATTGTTTCCTTAAAATGTTAAGAACACATATCCTTGTTTAACAACTGTTAAAAGAGACATTTCAAGGTGAGATAGAAGAAAAATACGAAAGAATTACTACAGTGATTCCAATCTTGTAACTTCTGTGGTTACCGGGGGGTGTACAGTGAGATTGCTAAGTAGCTTTGCTAATTAGAAAAATTAGAAATAATTATTTGGTAAGAAAGAAGACCTGGATATTGTTTAGGACCCATTAATATTATTCCCCTCTAACACCTCACTATGGACATGGGAGTGTTTAGCTTGCAAGTGAGCAAATCACATGAAAAAGAAAGCTAAAACAGATAAATGGTTTAAATATCCAACTTCTGCCACTCCAAGCAATAATAATAATGCAAATACAAACCTGACGCTCCTGAGTTTTATTATCTGCTATTTCAAATTTTGACTGTGTAGCTGTATCCACTATATCTTGCCCTCAGTTCCCTTAATTGCATCCACATTTCCCTCACTTGTGCCTTTTCCTTGCATCTTAGTTCTGCCCAAGTAAGATGCAAGGAAAAGAGGTGAGGAGAGAGGAATCGAGGTATGTTTTTTAAAAACACAAGAACTGAAGCTTCCAGTCATTAACTGGTTTCTATAAAAAACTTCTGTGAAAGATGATCTTGTGGATTCTTGATCATGGCTCCTCCAGACAGCCTCCTCCCTCCTCTCTCCTCTATCCACACTCCATGAAGAAAGAATAAGAGCTTTGGGACCAGCTTCAAGACTGAACAGAATTCAGATTTACTCATGGATGCAGTTAAGGGAAAAACAAAATTTTATGTCAGTCAACTCAGGAGTTGTCGAGATATTTCAGTCTAGACCAATTTGGTGGACAGGTCACTTTAATATCAAACATAAATAGACAATAGTGTTGTTCTGATGCATTTAATTGGAAATGTTTTCATTGAAGGTGAACCACTGGGACGAGGAGCATTTGGTCAGGTGGTAGAAGCAGCTGCCTTTGGCATCGAGAAAGCTGCCACATGCACTACTGTTGCAGTCAAGATGCTTAAGGGTTAGTGTTTCGTCCACCCTTCCTCTTCATGCACACACATAGAAACAGATTTTATGCATAATAACAAGACATAGACAGGTACATTTATCTCATTATGCCACAGAGGGAGCCACATCCAGTGAGTACCGTGCTTTGATGTCAGAGCTGAAAATCCTCATCCATATTGGACATCATCTCAATGTGGTGAACCTGCTGGGAGCCTGTACAAAGCCTGGTGGTAAGTCACTGCACAGAGCCCAAAGCTGCTCTGTCCACCTATTTACTTTGTCCTCAGCATGCAGCATTCCTGAGCCATTTTCTTCTTTATGAGAGTGGATGTTGGAACGTAACAAACGCCCCCTGACTGTGTTGATGTCGGCTATTATTTCCTTTTCTCTAATATGCCTCACACTTTTCATTAAATCGGTTTCAGTGGTCCTGTAATGTGTAGTTATGAACTGTTATTCTGTCTTTGACACTTAAAATCTTTGCTGCTTCCCTGTCTCTACAGGGCCACTGATGGTGATTGTAGAGTACTGTAAACATGGAAACCTCTCCAGCTACCTGAAGAGCAAGCGTGGAGAGTACAGCCCCTACAAGGTAAATGAAGTGTCACCCACATACAGCTAATAAATGACAGCCAATCTTCTGATATGGTTACACTTAGCCCAGACTTCTGTACATAGTCACATCATTGACCACAGACCCTCATGCATTCCACTGCTGATTGTGTCTAATGTGGACAAAATAATACCTTCATCCAAATAAAATGTTACTAAGATTCTTTTTTTCCTCCCTCTTAAATGATTTCTGTGTTTGCGCATGGTCTCCAGAGGAAGCCAGTGGACAGTCAGAAGTGGGCATCTGCAGAGGAGGATGTGACCGAAGGGGATCTGGGTCTGGAGAAGATTGCCCAGCTGGACATATGCACAGGAACAGCTGTCTGTTGTGCAGCTGGAGACAAGGCTACAGGCAGCAACATGGACACTCAGCAAGGTGCCAAAGACAACTCAGTTATTGTTATTTCCCCCCCAGTTCAATACTTGATTGGTTCACATATATGATGTAAAATGCATCATGTGACTGCAGAGAGCTCAGACTATGACCATCTGACCATGGAGGACCTGATAAGCTACAGCTTCCAGGTGGCCAAAGGCATGGAGTTTCTGTCTTCTCGCAAGGTGAAACTACCATCATCTGGAAATCTGTGTGTGCATATAGTCATCAAATATTAGAGATAACAGTTACCCACTGATGCATAAGAATGTGAATTCCTGTTTCTACTTTCTTTGTTTTCTCTGTAGTGCATCCGTTAGAGATAACAGTTACCCACTGACGCATAAGAATGTGAATTCCTCTGTTTCTGCTTTCTTTGTTTTCTCTGTAGTGCATCCACAGAGACCTGGCAGCCAGAAACATCCTGCTTTCAGAGAACAATGTGGTGAAGATCTGTGACTTTGGCCTCGCTAGAGATGTCTACAAAGACCCCGATTATGTCCGCAAGGGAGATGTGAGTGCCCAGAAGTGATACTAATATTTTCTGTGAAGCAGATTCCTGCAGAATGAAACTTATGTAGTCATCATTGCAACAGGCACGTCTCCCTCTAAAGTGGATGGCTCCAGAGACCATCTTTGACCGGGTATACACTACACAGAGTGATGTTTGGTCATTTGGGGTTCTCCTCTGGGAGATCTTCTCCTTAGGTAAGCTTAGAGTTCATTAGTGCACATAATACTGAAAACACAATAACCTCTGTATACCATTAACAGCACCTCTGTCTGACTTTACTGCAGGAGCCTCTCCATATCCGGGCGTTTGCATTGATGAGTCTTTCTGCAGGAGGCTTAAAGAAGGCACCAGGATGAGACCCCCAGAATACGCCACCACTGAGATGTGAGCGGAAAGTTAATGTGACACAGTTAAGTGCACCATGGAAATTAAACAAACTACTGTCTTATTGGGCTCCAATGTATTTGTCTTCCTAGATACCAGACCATGTTGGACTGCTGGCTGGATCGTCCCACAGACAGGCCGACATTTGCAGAGCTGGTTGAACATCTGGGCAACCTGCTACAGGCCAGCGTCCAACAGGTTTGTGTGGGTCAAAAACAAATGTCTATAAATACCATCAGACTTGAGATGTTTTCACCATTACAGCTATAGTTTTCTAAAATAGTTTCCTTGGGAGAATCTCTGAATGCTTTTCTTCGGTTGTGCTATAATAATAATCAGTGAACCCTGCATATATGAGTAATACACAGCCAACTGCAAAACATTCACACCCATTGAGTGCTGCCAAGTCATTCTGGGTATAGGAAGTCTTTACTTCAAGTAGAAAAAACAGGTTGACTCAACCATGTTTCATCACCTGGTTGTGGCACAAGGAAAACCAGTTACTGGGATATGCAGCATTTAATATCACTGACTCATCTTTTTCAACAGTTGCTTTAATGTAAATTGATATTTCCACTCATGTATAGAATAAATCCATCCAGTAATTGATCCACTGTATGCTTGAAGTGATATTATCAGAGTGCTCTCGGTCTCCAGGATGGGAAGGACTACATCCCGCTGACAGCAGGAGAAGCAGAAGGCTCACCAGTGACCCCTGACCCCAGGAGCCCCTACATGAGGCCACAGAGCAGGGAAATCCTGGAAGCTCAGCTCCACTACGACAGCCCACCATCCCTTGGGTCAGCACAATGATCTTAGCTGTCACTCACCACTGAAGCTATTAATTCTAAAACTACTAGGTGGTGCAGATAAGTCATTCACTAACTTATTCATTATCTGTGCAGACTGTCCCAACAGAGCGAGTGCTGCGGTCAGCCCGTCAGTGTGAAGATGTTTGAGGACATCCCTGTAGCGCACAGCAGTGTCATGGTGCGCATCGGTGAAACCAAAAATACTGTACATACACCTCATTCCTGACTCAAACATATTCAGTGATTTTTATCGTACTTGGTATGATTCAGCTACATTTTGCCCCTGTTCCCTCAGTAATTTCCTTATTGATACACCACACACACTTTTTCCTTTTCTCTGACCTTTGTTAGAATCCACACAATAAATCTCAACTGACATTTTGAAAATAGAAAATATACTTAATTCACCACCATTCTTTCTAATACTTTTTAAAGGAAGTTTGTCATGTAGCCTAATATAAAAGACGGTATTACTGAAATCATGATCAAAGATGTTATGCTTGATATTAGATAATGCATAGAGATAATGAAGAGCTGAAATAATTAGCCAAGTACAAGAGAAAATTGAGCAGCAAATGATTTTCTGATAAGCATTTAAGCTTTTCAGTCATTTTTAAAGTTAAAATGCCAAACATTTCCTAGTTCCAGTCTCTCACTTGTCAGAATTGAACTTTATGTAATTGTAATCTGAATATCTTTGGGAATTGGACTGCTACTCTGACAAAAACATTTTGATGACATCACCTTGAACTTTAGGAAACTGTGATGGACAATTTATTATTTTCTTGCTTTTTATGAATAAAATGATTAGGCTCATAACGAAAACAGGGATTGCAGCTCTAATTTACAAACAAAGGTGAAAACCAAAGAATGTGAATGAGGCTTGGTGTTGCCCTGTCAAGTACCAACCACTGTTGTTCACTTCAATTGTTGTCACTTCTACAGGAGGGTCACCTAGACAGCAGTATGGGCTTCTCAGCAGAGGAGGTCAAGGGTTTGAACCAACAACTGCAAACTACACCAAACCTCAGGTGAGGACTCAGCATTACATTTTACTCATTATTGCTATAAATGCCTTGATTTTGAAGGTGTAAATCTGATATTCAGAGTCAGTTTTCAGGTTTATCATGGCTAATGTTCCGTTCCTGTTTCCTGTCTTTAGCCAACTGCTTCGCTGTAAAAGTAAAGAATCTCTGGCCTCAGAATCATCCAATCAAACAAGTGGATACCAGTCAGGATACCACTCTGATGACACAGACACCCCAATCTATGCTAACGAGGAGGCGATCATGAAGCACTGCATGCTGAAGAAGCCTCCACTGCCCAAGACGCCTGACGAGTTCAGCATGGAGATCCGCTACAGCACACCACCTGTCTGATACCAAACATCCCTCCCCAGTGACCCGAGTCTTCCCACTGTACAGTATTTGTTTGTTTAGTTTCCACAGTTTTTACACTTTAGGTGCACTGGGCCTCATTCACCAACATCTTCCTAGGTGTTTTCTTCAACTTCTTCATAGGTTGTTCTTAAGAAAGGTCCTAAGAAAAGTTGATGTCTGATTCATGAATGATCTTTTAAACCACAGAATTGTTTGCACCCGTGTTCTTTTATTGATGAAACCCATGTGTTTCTAAGTTGAAAACATGCCAGTCGTTCCTAATTAGCATAAGTTAATGCCCCACCAGTGCCCATAAAAGTGCATGAGACTGCAGGACTGTGTGCACACACCTCACACAGAAAGAGAAAAGAGATGTTGAGAAAGCCTGGAATGTTATAATGAAAATCTAAAGACAGTGGAGCAACAAAGTCCAAACCAAAGAAAAACTTGAGTTATGCCCAGAGTGATCTGTGCTGGAACAACGCATCACAGCCATACCTGGCTCTCTCGGGTGCCATCAGCTGAGCAGACCTCCATGCATGCGCCCAGGTCCCTTCATCTGCCCTGAGTCTGATCTCAGATGCGATACTGGACAAGCAAATACTTACACACTGGCCAAAATATCAGAGACGCTTAACAAAATCAAGAGAAATTAGAAAAAAAGACATGCATTTAAACATGCTGGGTTTTTAAGTAACGTGTTTCCTAATTCTAAGCTACAAACATTCACACTGTAAAAGTTCATTGTAAAACCTTAAAAACAAACTATTGCTTATTGTAGCATTTATTTTATTTTATCATAATGCTTTGTAAAATAAGGGGGAAAATAAACAATAATAAAAGTATTATTGCAACTCAAGTCTTATATTATGTAAGTGTAGGACTGAAGAAACCTTCACACACACACACACACACACACAAATGTGCAAAAGTGTGATCTTGAGAGTGAGTAGATTCTGTTTTTACCCAAGAACAAGTCCCAAATAAGAAAACATTGGAAAATGCCAGAATCTTTGTGAAAACTTAATAAGTGGATTTTAAAAACAAATTTGTTCTTAAGAACAGTTGGTGAGTGAGACCCAGTAACCCCTAATGAGGTAGAGATTTGCTGGCTGTGGTGTTGACATGATTTTACACAACTTAATAATTCAGAAGGGAAAAATAAAGGTTGTATGATAAGCTAGAAGTGCATCACTCCTTGGACAGCCAGAGGAAAGCTATCATGTTTACGCAGCTAGTCAAAGGTCTGGGCAGCCAAGACACACAGACTTCCTAAGGCAAAATCCACCCATTTCCTCCTTTGCAGGAAATGGCATCTGGAATTTTTAGATAATTGAATTGGCAAATGTTTTCTTTTTCTACTTTTATTATGTTTTTTGTTTTGTTGGCACAATGAAAGGCTAATAAGGAAACAGTTCTCTAGAAACATTTTTGACTGATCTGAGTGTCGTATTTGTACAGTTCCTTTATTCGTATATGTTACAGTATTTTATAAAAAATGTAATAACTTGCAATAAATGTAACTAGTTTTATAAAATAAAAATACAAATTAGGATTGTTCCTCTGTGTTGATTTTTGACATGGAAAGTAAAGTCTGATGTATTTGTCACTATTTGTTCATCTAAAACATCATCTGAGTACGTCATACACATCTCACTTCCTTTCTGTGTTTTACGCAAAGAAAATACCTTCTGGCCTTGGTCATTTATTGTGTGTGTGTGTGTGTGTGTGTGTGTGTGTGTGGTATATGAACAATGCCCTTCCAGTCTGGGGTATTTTTTTTAGCTGTAATTAGCCCACAATGCCCATAATAGCCTTGACAATGCCAGTGTTACAACAAAGTAAAAGGTACATTTGAAAAGCAGGCGTGAGATCATCCACACCACCTCTGCTCCTTGGCCTACAAGCTTAAAGATGTGTGGATGAACCGAAGGGAGGAGTGCATAAGAACTCAACATGTTTTGACTGTAATCAAAAACAAGAAATCTGGTTAATTTTAGCATAGTGGAGGAAATGGCTTGCAGTCTCTGAGGAGGGGAGATTTCCACACTTCAACACAGAACATGGGGGTTAAATATAGAAAGTCCATTTCATTACCACTGCAGGAGGCTGATCCAAGATCAAAAGCTTTCCGATGCATCCTCTGAATGAAGCTTGAGCTTGAGGAATAGCATGAATGGCAGATACAATATCAGTCTGTGAAACAACCAATATTCACTGAAAATAGACAGACATGGTCTGTGGAGCTTTAAAAAAAAAAAATTAAGATCATTACTCAATAAGTATTTGTTAATCCTTAGAATTTCCCTCACATACATCTTTACCACCTGCAGCATTGCTGATGACACCTCCCACCCCACACACTCCAACTTCAGACTCCTGCCTTCAGGGAGAAGGTATCGGAGTCTTCAGTCCCACTCCACCAGACTTACAAACAGCTTCATCCACCAGGCTGTGAGGATGCTGAACACTGTTCACTACCTCCCCCCTCTGCCCCTGGACCATAACCCACCACAGAACATAAAAAGATATAAAAAGACTACCCCTGCTGTTGGACAAACTCAGTACATTCCCCCTTTTTGTTATATTACAGGTAAATCTGCTGCTGACTGTTTTTTACATCATATCTGCTGCTGTTGGTCATTTGCTGTACTATCCATGTGCATCTCAATCTCACAACCATCTGACAATCTTATTACTATTTACACTACTGTCACCGATTGTACATGGTTTTGAGTCATAGCCTATTAGGTTGTACCGTTTAGTTTTATCCTAATTACTTTGACTAAGTTTTCTTATTCTTTTTAGTCTAGTTTTACACTATTTTGGTAGTGTAAAACTTTTAGTTTCCCAAATGGTATGGCATTCAATACTAGATGAGGGAGAAATGGTATTTCGATTTTCTGTATGTCCTGCACATATAGTGAATTGACAATAAAAATCTTTGATCTTGAAATAAGTGGGCAACAGTGCCCTCTGCTGAGCTAAACGTGTAATTATATGGTTGTTCCCCTCTGTTTCAGTAGGTCATACCGTAGATCAGTAAATGATATACAGTACTGTGCAAAAATCTTAGGCCAAGATTAGTTTTACTGTTTTAGCAAAGTTGCAATGATATTTATTTCTCAGTCTCTTTAAGATACAACCAGAAAATACAGGCTATGGAGCATCAGGTCCAGAACCACCAGGCAGAATAAACAGCTTCCTCCCAGCATCTTCCTGTACAGTTGCCATTATCACTTTGTCTTATGCCATGACAGCTCAGCAGTTTGAGGCTGATAAATTCTGCATTTGTAACTGATATTACTGCAATCTCACTGAACATTCTGCCACTAGATACGGTTACCAGTCTTGCAGAATTTATCCTCACTTTATACTTTGATAATCTTATTGATAGTATCATTTAATTCTTCTGGGGGAGAGTCTTGAAACCATGACAGCCCCTCCACCATGTGTCACTGAAGGCTGCCAGCACTCATTCCTCCATCTCTCTCCAACTCTTCTTCTCACATACTGTTGAGGATTGAGCTTGACAGACAGACAAACATCACAAGACTTGTATTTGGGACAAAGGAACAACACATCTACCACTACAAGAATTTCCTCAGAAATGGAAAAACAACCTGAAGGCAGAGCTCTGAACTTGCAGGAAATACCTTGGCATTCACAGACATCACAGGTCTCAATGTAATAATACACATCCAGCCAACCAGCACACCAAATGGAGCCAGACAGACTCTCCCCACCAATCAATATGCATCTGGTAGCCAATGAATGATTCTTAACAGCTGCTGTTGGTAGTGGTGTTAAACTTTAAGATTGCCCATCCCCTTTAAAAATTAAAGGGTCAGTGTGGGCAATCTAAAACACCTAATGAGAAAATATTTACCTAGGGTAAATGGAGAGACTGTGGATTTGCTCATTTTATTTAATGAGTTTATACTGCAAGTTGTTTATCTACATCAAGGCAGCAGCAGTACTGGAGCACATGTGATTGACAGTGCAGGAAAACTAGTTAGCAAACAGAAGCTGAAACAGTCAGCTAAAAGTAATAGATTAACTTTTTAACTATATAGCTAAAGTAATGAACTAAATGTTGAAATGAATGGCTAATGTGCAAATGGTTGAAATAGCTGATAAAATGGCTTAAAAATAGATAAGTAGTTACATTTAGGGTGAATGCAAGCTTGACCAAACCAACCGTAACACTGACAGCTAAATAAAAAACAAACAGTAACTTCAAGTTTGAAACAAATTCAAATGAGCATGTGTAAAACACCTGACAGGACACTGACAAAACAGGTTTTAGTACTACTGCAGGATACACAGAGGATTGCCAGGTAAACTTTAAAAGTTTTCACAGTGTACACTCCACTCATATCACCACATCACAAACAGGGATGAGGCTGAAGGATTATGTGGCTTCTTTTTTATTCAAGCTACAACTTCCACCACTGAGTGGTAGTAAAACTCTAAAATCAGTTCCCCAAACTCTGCTCACAGAGACTTAGAGCGGCAAGCATGGCACAGCTGAACCTCTTCACCCCAAGGTCCTGATGGTATGTGACATATGAACAGAAACAAGACAAGGTCATGGTGCCTTCCATGATCATGTGTACACTAACCGTACCTTGCTCTAGCTACTAATCACATCAGAAAAGATTAGCTGAATCCCAGACACACATTAGTATGTTGTTCATAGGCTGGGTCTCCAAACTGTCAGACTCAAATCACTGTCACTCAGAGACAAGAACCCGAGTTCCTTTAACCCAGTTCTGTCATTTCATGAAAGCTACCTAACCTGGCTCTAAGGAAAAAAAATAACTACTAGTGATCAACACAAGGGCTCAGTTGCATTTTTTAGCAATCACATATGCAGATAGACAGATTCTGTGAAAAACTGATAGAAGTAATCCCTAACTCCAGGTTGTGCTCATTCATAAAGATGGAAGCTTGCCTTCACAATACTGAGCTCTTTTACAGCAGGAGTGACAATGTCACCTATGACATTTGCATATTTGTGCAACTCCAGAGCAAACGGTCTCTAGAGTGAAGCTCTCAGGGTTCATCGCAAAGCTAGTGCCAGTTCTCTCCATCAGTTCCTTCTCGTGTCTGCATCCCGAAATATAAAAACATCTTTTCATGCTGATCATATTTATGCATTTATCTCCTATTCTACATACATTTTTAACATGTAATACTCTGCTATTGACTGGCATTTTATTTTGGTTTATTCCAGTCTACACACTCGCCTGTTGCAGAAGGCCTCATTCTTATCTAAGTCTAGGAGGCCCTGCACCGACTACATGTTGCTAGCATCTCGCATTTATTACAAATACAATTATCGCTAAAGGAGGCAGAGGAATAACTGAACATATGACACTGAAAGAGAGAAAGAAGGAGAAGCCATTGCTCTCAATTAAGCTACTAGCTGACCGAAAGTAGCAAGTTATATTTGGAAATTAGCAAGAAATTCTGTAACAAGCACTTAAGTAGTGAGGGCAGGCATATGTTGTGACTCAAAAATCAGCTGATGTTCAGATAAACCTAGAAATTGAGCTTAGTCCGTAAACAATGTGGTAGCAAGCACATCACGGTGCAGCCACAGAAAACAGGAAGTGAATACGGATTACTGCAGGATCATGAAACACCAGGAATCACTGCAGCAACATTTCAAGATTAAAGATTATATTCAAGTGTTCTGGATACAACAAATAAAATAACAATTCACATGTTCAGGTATCTATTTTCAAATCAGCTCCCACAGCTCCAGGACCATACAAGGTGTAGTTTTCAGCAAAGATATGGAACTCCTGCTTAAACACTTCTCACTTTCCCTTCATAATATAATAGGAGGGTGGAGAGGATCACTGCAGACCCCTCACACCCCGGACACAGCCTGTTCGAAGTCCTCCATTCTAGACGGTGCTACAGGTCACTGTGCACCAGGACAACCAGGCACAGGGACAGTTTCTTCCTCCAGGCCATCACTCTGATGAACACTTAACCAACGACAGTATGACTGGACCATAACCCTCAGTGCAATATATCTTACTTGGAGTATGGCATTGAAAACTGGGGAAATACATACAAAAGCTCACTTCAACCATTGTATATATTACAAAAAAGAGCGATAAGAATTGTGCATAAGATGGGGTACAGGGATCACACCAATGTAGCTTTCATACAGTCTAAATTGTTAAAATTTTTTGATTTAGTGGGATATAAGACTGCTGTGTTTATGTATAAAGCCAGGAACAATTTATTACCTGGTGAAATTCAAAAACTATTTAATGAAAGGGAAGGGGGATACAATTTAAGGGGTCAGTTAAATTATAAAATTCATGTTATACGTACAACCAAAAAAAGATTTTGTATTTCCAGAAGTGGGGTAAAACTATGAAATAATTTAAGTGTGGACATAAAAAGCAGTACGAATACTGATGAGTTTAAACACAGATATAAAGGTATGTGTCAATCAAGATATATGCAAGAACAGGCTTAAT